AAGAATTCACAAAGGGGAAAGGACAGGAAGATGTTCCATAAATAGGTTTGGAAAGCTAAAATTCCACATATGGAATAATAAAATAAACCCTTTTAGTACGCAAAAGTCAAGTCAGAATGGATTAAACACTTAAAACTACTCAAAGAAACCATAGGGAAATAATCTTCATGTTGGTTTGGTCAATGACATTTTGAATATGATCCCAAAGGAATAGGCAATGAAAAAAAAATGGGACTGTGTCACACTAAAACACTGCACAGCAAAGGAAGTGATCATCAGACACCTATGCAATGGGGAAAATATACTAGTTGCAAGCCAAACATGTTAGCTTTGCATTGCTGTAACAAAAACACCTGAGATAATCAACTTTAAAAGAAGAAATATTTGTTTTGGCTCACCGTGTTAACAGTTTCAGACCAAAATTTCCAAAGTGAGCTGGCCCCGTTGTTTTTCGGGCCTATGGCAAGGCAGTACAATGTGGCAAGAGACCCTGGTGGAGGTGGCCCATTCACCTTGTGGCCAGGGGCAAAGGGAAGAAGGGGCCAGTGTCCTACAATCTCCTTCAAGGCCATACCTCCAATGGCCTCCCCTTCGATCCCACCTCTTAAAGATTCCACCACCTCCCAACAACAACCACAGGGTGGGAACCAAAGCCAACATATACCTAATAAGAGATCAGTATCCAAAATATAGGAGAGAGACTAACAACTCAATAGCAAGAAAAGAAATGACCTCACTTAACAACGGGCAAAGGACTTGGACAGATATTTCTCAAAAGAAGACATAGAAATGGCCACCTGATAGATGAAGACATATTTAACATCACTACCTCGTCAATCTAAACCACAATAAGGTATCTATCGTCTCTCACCTGTTAGAATGGCTACTATCAGAGACGCAAATGATAACAAGTGCTGACAGGGGTATGGAAAAAAGAGATAGCTCTTGGTGGGAATGTAAATTGATACAGCCACTGAGGAAAACAGTAGGGAGGTTCTTTTAAAAAATTAAAAGGAGACCTTCCATTTGACTCAGAAATCTCACTTCTGGATACATATCCACAGGAAATTAAATAAGTATGCCAGAAAGACATCTGCACTCCTGTGTTCACTGCAACACTATTCACAATAACCAAAATGTGGATTTAATCTAAATGTCCATTGACAGATGAATTTTTTTAATAAGTGATACTGATACATACACACAATGGAATATTATTTACCTTAAAAAAAGAAGGAAATCCCATCATCTGCAAAGGTAATGGGTGAACCCAGAGGACTTCCGCTAAATGAAATTAGACAGGCACAGACAGACACTGCACATGGAATCTAAGAAGTCGAACTCACAGAGGCAAAGAACAGAATGGGGACTGCCAGGGACTGAGTGGTTGGAGAGCTGAAAAGATTTTGGTTAAGAAGTAAAAAGTTTCAACAGGGCCGGGGGATTTAGATTAGTGGTACTGTGCCCGCCCTGCAATAGCAAGGTCCTAGGCTCCATTCCAGGTACTGGAAAAAAAAAAAAAATCAAGAAGTAAAAAGTTTCAGATATGCAAGATAAGTTCTAGAAAATAATAAATCTGGATACTTATCTCATACCATGTAAAAAAACTGATTCAAAATGGGTTAGAGACAAACATAATATATAGCACAATTATTACAGTTGTTATTGCGTTGTATACTGGAAATTTGCTAAGACAACAGATCTTTAAAGTTCTCACCACTGAAAAGGTAACTTTACAAGGTGATGGATGTGTAAATTAGCTTGAGTGTGGTAACAATCTCACAATACATACCCATACGAAAACATCCCGTTGTACACCATAAATATATACAATTTTAACCGTCAATAATATCTCAGTAAAGCTGGAAAGGAATAAGAAATTGACAAGTCAGTATCTGCACAGACCATCTCTGGAAGACTACATAATAATTCAGGAAATAGTTTGGAGTGCCAAGTAGACGTGGGAGGATGAAGAACAATCTTGTCCCACTGCATGTCTGGGCCTTCGAAAGGCCATGGGTATGTTTTAACTGTTCAAAAATGAAGAAAAAGAATCCCTGACTAAAAGCAAGTCATGGTGCAAAACACAGTCTGGCTGCAGCTGGTCTTGCAACCTAGGAGAGTAAGAAAATTGGTATTTCTCAGTTGAAGGCAGCACCCTGACCTGACTACATGTGAAAAAAGCCTACAAAGATGTTCTGAAAAGGAGAGGAGAGGGTTAATCTTTCTGTATATCACAAAGTGAAAAGAACTGTGTTTCTGAGGATATCTCTGGAGACAGAGAGAAAGAGGCAGGGAGAGAGAGAGGCACCCAGCCATATGCAGAAGGCCTGATCCTGATGAGAGACTTCAGGGAGAGAAATCCTCTGCGGCAGGGAGTACCAAGAGGCTTCTGGGAACCATGCTGTCCCAAGGATGTATCCTGCTGTGTACTGCAAATCCCACCAATCCCACCCCCAAAATCACACTAACCCTTGAACGGAGAATACAAGTCTATGATGCATAACAATGCATTGCGCTTGGGAGAAAAAGGATGCCCGGAGCAGGGCCGGGCAGGCTACCAAGAGGCAGAACAGGAGACAAGAGAACCAAGGGATGACGGTCAGAGCAAGAAGCTGTGGTGACCTTGGGTGCAGCGCAGGCTGAATGGGAAATACACTCCCTGAAATCGCATAAAATGGGGCAGGGGTTCCTACAAAATACGGGATGTAGTTTCGGAACTTCATTTGGACACACTGATCCCAAAGGCCTAGCAGGCTTGGGTTATCTGCCCCATGCTCACTTATTTGGGAAGCAAATTGATAATCTCCATCTCTTCCCTTCTTCCTGTTCTTACCCTAATATTTTTTAAAAGAGAAATTAGCTAAGCATGTAAAACGTCTTAGATTTTGATGGAGTCAAAGGTAAACACAGCCCGATGGCTGAGTAAGCTCTTCCTGTGACACCTGAGAGAAAGAATCCCCTCCCTCCAACTGAGTAAATAAAGGTCAAAGATGATCCAACCCAGGCATATGATTCAAGTCAAGTATGCTGTTCTCCACTCTCGTCTGTAACTTCCTCTAGCTTAATCAAATCCTAAACATATGCTCTCCCTGAACCTTAGACCTCACCCTCCACCATGCATCCCTGCTGGAACTCAGCAGCAGCCCCGGAAGAGATCGCACACTGACCACAACACAGACGAGAACCAGCTCCTCACAGATGTGATAAGGCCTCACACTCACTACAGAAAAGTCTCTCCCCACAACAAAGGAAAATATGTCTTTACTGCTCTCCTCTTCACTTTATAAACTGCCCTCTCACTAAATTTTCCTGCACCCTTTCCTGTGATAAATCCTTACAGATCCAGCCCCTCAAACCCAAGAGCCCCTCTTCAACTCTTCCCCACTCTCTCTCTCTCTCTCCTCCCAAGGTCCAGCCTCTTTGCCAAGGCAAGCAGACAGGACAAAGACAGCTCTGTTTCCTCAGACTTGACGGCCCAGTTTCATGACCTGTACTCACTGACACACCCCCCACTGGGCCAGGCCTCCCCAAGCCCACATCCGGGCTTCCACTAGTCATTCATAAGGCAACCACAGACCCAACTATCAGGGCCTGAGCCCCAGGAGGCCAACTGTAAGGGAGGAACTCTAACCCTGGAGAAGGAACCTTTCATCTGAGCCCATACCGGGGAGCTGTTTAAAGTACGTACATATATATTAGACAAAATCCCTTCCAGGATGTGGACTCTTCCTCTCCTTGAGCACCATGGGGCCCACAAAGCATCCTGCATTTCCTTGGAGTCAGTATTTGCTTGGCTTCTTCTCATCACTGTGTATTGAGATTGCCATGTTTCCGTTTCTGCATCTCCCCACAGCCACACGATCCCCACAGTGAACACATTTCCTATCATAACCCTCGGGACACCTTTTTCTGGAGACCACGGAGCTCAGCACAGCCGTGGGCTCTAGGCCCAATTACAGAACCTTTACTGCCTTAGCTCAAATTGAAATTCTCCTCTACCTACTTGTACCTTAGTATCCCAAGTTTTATCCATTCTTAATTCCCAATATCCTGACTCAGAATTTGGGAGAGAAAAGACTCCAAGGCCTGCAAGCAGAGGAGCACCTAAGCCCTGGAGTGGGATTCAGACTCATCTCCTCTTCTACCCTAAGACAGTTTGTCCCGGTCAGTGGGCAACACAGATCTCAATAGGGCACTGAGGGGGAAAGCCCTAAAGGGCACCAGACTGAGAGGAAAAGCCACCACCCTGACCCCTACACATCTATCCATGGATCCCTGTTTTCCAAATACCACCTATTTCTCTCCTAAGCCTTCAGTTCAGTCACAATTCATAACCTGTTAGGAAGAAACAAAATAGCTGTGTTCTTCTCCATTGGAATAATACCCAAGGTCACATTTTCCTTTTGCCAAGACCAGAGCAGTCCTTCCAGAATTTTCCTTCCCTCCCACCCTACCCCCACCAACAGTGTTTGGTTCCTTTGAAATGCCACCCGGGAGAAATCATCAGCACAAATATTTAAAGCTCTAATTCATAAAAATGCAAAGGAAAGGCAAGACTCTAGAGACACCCAGACTCTCCTGGTGACTTGGTGAATGCTTTGGGAGATGGGGTTATCCAAAAACAGCATACCCGAAAACATTCTTGCTGGCTCTATCTCATTCCTCACCCTGAGAGGCTTCTAACTCGTCTACACAGGCATTAGTGAGAAAGGAGAAGAACAAAGTGAAAATGTGATCACCCTCCCACAGGAGCTCAGGTGAGAAGGATGACGCATAGATGTTCACTGCTTTCTCAGAGGCAGAAAAAGGCCAGGCAACAAATTATCCAAAGCAGAGTGAAATTTTGGGGTGTGATCCCATGTGTCTCAGGACACCGCACTGAATACAAGGCCACTCTGTGAAGAGTTGGAACCTTTTGACTTTTAACTGCCGGCCCACAAGTACCCAGGGGAACCGAGCATCCCAGGCCTGGCCTGTGTCTTGGGAAGGTCACATACCTCAGAAGGTTGAAGCTCAGATCAAGCCTCTTTGCAAAATGTCCACAGTTCCTGCCAAGGTGTTCTGGAATTTCTCTGCAGTCCTGGCCTATGTAGGACACCTGGAAATTAAATTCAACAGAAACAATGTGGCAAACAGAAATTACCCAGCTGTTCACAACCCTAACTCATTGATCCAACGATTGCTTCCCCAACTTTAACCAGGCGCTCCCTGCACATGAAAAGACTACATAGTGACTGTTCTCCTGATCGCACCAGGGGTGTCAGAGATGCTGCCAACTTCTCCCTTTCCTGATACAGTTAATGTGATGGAGATTTTCCAAGCATAATGGAAATTAGGCTAAAATTGGTCAGATTCAGGTGTCCAAAAGAAAACCCAACATCAGGGCATGTTGATGAACTCATTACATTCAGCCTCTCACTCAGAAGCCTTCCCGATAGCTGCCCCTCTGGCTCTCCTCCCTCTCCTGCCCCTCCATCACCCCACAATGCACACATCCTCAAAGAGGGCCTAGCAGAGGCCTCACCAGCATTCAACCTCCCGGGTTCTGGAACAAATAGGCCTGAGCAAGAAAACCTCCCCAGACCACCAATCCCATCCCCACTGTGTATAAAATGTCATCCACACTGCAAAAAGAGCTGATTCAAAGGTGACAACATGTGGCCAGAGCTTCCAAGCCATCCCTCTTCCACCAGCAGCCTTTTGCAATCAACCTGTCCCTGCTGACACAGCTGTCTCCCTAGGTGTTCTTTGTATTTCTATTTTTATTGTGCTTATTTATTTACTTAAAGTACCTCATGTATGCCCAAATATGAAGAGGCCAAACTGAATACTGACCCCAGAATTCCAAGTTAGGAGAAGATTGGTAGGCTTTTATCACCTCAACCACCTGCTTTTGGGAACCTGTTTTTACAGTGGTGCCCTGCAGCAGAACAGGCACCTAATTTCAACACTGGAAAAACACACCTGTAGGTCAGAGATGGCCCATGGGCCACCATATATGATACAGTCCTAAAGAACCCATCTTCAACCCCACATAGAAATTCAGCCCATGACAAGACAGCAGCCTTATCTCTCTACAAATCTACACTCCTCTATGCAGACAGACCAAGATGTCTTGAAATAAGACAGAGTTCCCAGAGCTTTATGTTTCCTAATGGAGAAAAAAACATGACCACCCTCTCTCATCCTCATTATGTGGGCCAATATCCAACCATTTTAGACTATAAAACAGAACTTTCATATCACTAACCCCAAGGCAAACCGCAACACACCCTAGCACCCTCCATTTCTGAAGTCCTTGCTTATCTCTCCCTCTCCGATCCAGTGGGGACAAACTTCTGACAATACCATAGCCTATATCAATCTCCTCCCATTCACTCTCCTTTAGTGACTTTGCCCCAGGGGGAAAGAAAGTGGGGAGTAGTTAGCTGCAATAAAATAACTCTGACTCAAGAAGATACAAGCTAAAAATAAAGGGGTCTAAATTCAATCTAGCAATCTCTCCTTTCTACACAAGACCCACCTTTCTTCACAGTTCCTGGTGTAAATAAATTAAGTTGTGCTTCCAAGCTGAAGGAAATCATAATTAAGGAGAGAGCTAGGATACAAAGTCCTAACTCATCTAGAGACTTTTGTCTCCTTCAAGACATCTGTCTATCTTCTCACTCAGTAGCTTCTTATTTATTATAGATTCATATTGGCACTTGGGTATATGGGGCTGACTCAAGAACCCATCCCATTCCACCATCCTGTATAGATCAGCATCACTCAAGACACAGCAGAGAAGCTAAGTCTTGAACAAAAGTTACTTGCTCACAGATCAACCAGGGACTACACCTATTAGAGACCCAGCTTATCCAACCCTTTATCGTTTATACAACAAAGTCAGACTACAGAGACCTGTTCAACATAATACAGCAATTTTCTGAGGCAGGGTCTCACTATATAATGCAGGCCAACCTTGAACTTGCTATATAGCCCAGGCTGGCCTCCAACCCACAATCCTCCTGCTTCAGTTCCCAAATGTTGGGATTATTGGCATGTACCACCACGCCTGGTCAAATAGATCTTAAATAGCAAGAAGCAGGAGCTCATTCAGGACAAGAAGTCATTGCATTTAGTCAGTTATCTTGAATTAGACTGAATTGAACCAAGTTTCAAACTTTTAACTTTCCTACCTTATGTAATTCATACCCAAGACTTCCAGCTTGTGTAGAATAACAGGAAGGAACATTACCAAGCAAAGAAAAACAAATGAAGTAAATATTCCTACAGAGACACACGCATGAGAGAGGGAATTGAGAAAGTCTGGGAGGAAGGACCTCACCCATGCACACCTAGGCCCTCAGACGGAAACTGCGGAAGATCGAACTGCGAAGAACTGCAAGTTTCTCAGTGCCACTGGGGGAAGTCACTCCCAGGACGTTTCTGGACATGACAGATCTATCAGTGGTCAGAATAAGGGGAGCTTATTCTATGACACCCACCCCTAACCAGGGGTGAGGGATCCTTCATACCACATTGGCATTACCAAAAGCTCTGTGACCCATAAAAATAGCCCTAGGTTCAAAGTTTGAGACGCTGGTGCTACTGACTGGCTGTTTTATCTTGGATGAGTCACAATCTCCCGGAGTCTGATTCCTCTTTTGTAAACTAATCTAACACCGTGTGCCCCCAAATAATAAGGATAACATAAAATTAACTACCAACCCTGCGTCCATCATCTCTTCAATCCTCAAGGGACCACTTGTAAATTACACATTATTATCCCTATTTTACTTACACTATAAAAATGATACATGAAAAGCACACAGCCTTCTCCTTCACACCTAAGGATTGCTTGGTAAATCGTTGTTAAATCAGACCAATATCCCTACAGGGGAAATTCGTTATTTCCAATGTCTCTTGAGAATAAAATTTCAGTGACCAAAGTTCAAGTTTGCATTTGTGTCTACAACTGATGCTGGGATTGTGTCACGCTTTCACGAAAAAAAGAACAGAGGCCTTAATGCTGAATATAAATAATGCATTCAAGCCAAGAGAAGCTGAATGAAGTCAGACCCACATTGTAGGAGAAGACTTCACAAGGAAACAAGAAAGAGGACTGTAGCATTGCCAAGCATGTGAGGTTATAGGCCTTGGACCCCTGAGAAACAAGCCTACAGCAGTCAGCCCATGGAATCACGGAAAGCAATAATCTAGACTCAGTCAAGCATCCATCACATTAAATTGTTTCTTTTAATTTTATTGGTGTTTTTGCCTTTGCATTTAAACCATCCCTTTATTTGGGATTCACGGCTCTCTAAATAATGAGAGTTACATCTGGTTTTGTGTTCGCATATTTCAGTAATACTCCAGTAAGAATCATACCAACACTGTTTCTCGTGGGAAGCCAGTAATGGCTACTGGAGGTTGAGGAAGGGGAAGAGGGTGGTTAATAGGAAAGTAGTATAGAGGGAGAAGAGAAATAATTTCTAAAGTTCTATATAGCACAGCAGGGTAACACTTAACAGAGGATTTTGAAAGTTTGTAACGCAAAGAAATAAGGGGTCAGTGGTTAAAAAATGAATATACCAATTACTGTCATCCGATCAAGACATTCTGTATATATGCTTTGAAATACTACATTGTACCCTATAAACAGGTATAATTGTTATGTGTCAAACTTAAAAATAGTTTTTTTTAAAAAAAAAAGAACCATCTGCCAAGGTCTGAAAAGTTCCATGCATTCAGTCAAGGTGCTCCCTGTTTCAATAGCTGCCATCACAATTGGCCTGGGGTAAAATGTTAATAAATATATTAACCTTGGGCTGGGCATGAGGCACTAACCCCCAGGGCCACTTTCCCAGCCTGCCTTCTTAGCCCTCCCACCTCCCCACCCCTACCCAGGCAGGCTTCTTAAGACAATCCCCAAGGACCGTAAAATGCCTCAACCACACTTCAAGAGCATCCTGAAACTATATGGAGAAGGTTAATGGCAGGAGGTGCAAGAAACAAGCTTGGGAAATGGGGAAAGGAAGCCTGGGAAAGTTGTGGAACCCACTGTCAAGTCCTCCAGGAACGTGGAAGAAGCTACATGCAGAGAATTCTGGGACTTACAATGCAGCCAGACCTAGGGTCCTTAGGCAGATGTCCACAGAAAAGGCCCAGGCCCTCACCCCCAGATCTTTCCTCTAGGAAATCAAGTCCTCCCCAGAAGCCCTTTGCTCTGGGGCAGAATACGGTTAACCACCCTGGAAGGCTGGTCCTGCCTGGTTTGCTCACTTTGAATTCTGGACAAGGTCTCTCTTCACAGCCTGAGCCTGGGGACAGAGTTGGCAATCAATGAAACAAACCTGTCATAAGGCCAGGACAAGGATACACTGGAAGGGCTTAAGGTACACTACCACGCCACACAGGGTCAGTTGCATAGTAGGCACTGAATAAACGTGTGTGACTAACAAAATGACAGGACTCCAGAAAAAAAGAAACAGGCAAAACTGGGATACATCGACAGGGTTTTAAGACCCCAGACCTCTAAGGGGACTCATTTCCTGTAGTCCAAAATCATCTCAAAGTCCAACTGCCTGGCACTACCTGCCTCAGGCAATTCAAAGGGAGAGGTTCAAAAACTGAGAACCATCTCTCCAGGGTGTTGTGGAGATAGGTCGGCAGTGGGAGGGCCAGCTTAATTAGGGAGAAGAGGCTAAAGATAAAGAGGTCTGAAGTTTCCTGCAGATTCAAGACGCCTGGTCCTAGCCTGGCTAAGTTCACACCTCCAGCACTGACAGAAAACACCTGAGGCTTCCTACAGGGATAAACGCCCAGGAAGGTTGGGGGTCTATCATCCAAAGTTGGAACTGCAGTGTTGCACTCCCCACAGAAGAAATCAGGGGGTGCAAAGAAAATAAGAGCGACACTGACTAAGAAGCCCACTTTTCTCGCAGAGCCCATTAGCAACACCCACCACCAACAGCACCACCACCCCGCCACCCCCACCACCCACCATGCATTGTGATTTTCATTGTGACTTTGGTGACCCGAGACACCTTCGCCTCTTTGGGTCCCATCTGCTATATAAATATAAAAATATTACTGAATTCTATTTAATAAATGCATTGGTACAAAGACAAGTACCATGTTACATGTTAAAACTTTTTTCTTGAAAAGTTCTTTTATAAATTTGGATTGTGAAAGAACAGAAGAAATTGAAACACTTTCTGTGGGTGCCCCATGAAGTCTGGGAGAGAGAAGTCGGTCGCTTAGTGAGACACTGGAGGCAGTGGGGTGGCGGGATGGGGAGACAAGGGTTTTGTTCCCACACAGCCAGGGAGTGTGCAGCGCAGAGGGATTGTCTCCTCCAGACCCGGGCGCTGTGTTCTGTCCACCTGCGCACGGACACCCGTCCCCCCGAGGCTGGGGCGCAGTGGAAGCCCGGGACCCCGCGGTCCCTCCCCACCCCGCTGTGCCCGGACGAGGGCGGGCTGTCTCGGGCGGACTTACTTGAGTTCCACTGACCACGAGCCCAGCCATGGTGGCCCAGGGGCGGTGGGCGCGAGGCACTGAGCACTGCGACGGCGGCGCGCAGCGCAGTTCCGCACTGGGCGGTCAGCTGACCCGGCGGAAGCCCCGGCCGCTCGAGCCTGCGGGGTGTGCGCTGCACCTCCTGCACGTCGGCCAGCGCAAGACCTGGGAGAGCCGGGAGCCTCGGCCTCCCACTGCCGCCGCAACAGGTGGCCCTGCGCGCGCCGTGCCCTGGGTAGCTGCAGGGACTCCGACCTCCCCGTCCCGCCCCCTCCCAGGTGGCCCAGGGCCCCTTCGCCCCACGAGGTGTCCTGCAGACCTCCTTGCCCACAACTTTGTTGCGTTGGTCCGGGCCAGGCGTGGAGTGGGGAGGGGGAATCGCATCAGGCGCACCCCATTGGAGCCCTTAGAGTTTTGCATGTAGTTTGGGGAGCTTAGAGTTTTGCTTTTCCTAAATTTCACAATCTAGGTTACGTAACTGCCCTCAACCGCTTGGAGGAGGGGCCTCTGGGCTAAAGTCCCCTCCCCTCCTCAGGTTTGGTTAAAAGGACTCAGGGTGCAAGTCGGGGGGGGGGGGGGGTTCATATTCCGTAAATAAAATGCGGACTGGGCTCAGGCCACCGCCCACCCTGCCCGCAACGCCTCTGGCAGTTGACAATAATGAACCCTGGGGAAGGAGAACTAAATGAATGGTGTCTCCAAAAGTCAGGTTTCTCTTACTCTGAGGTACACCGTTTATTGGGCAATTCAATTCCTCCCACCCCATGGAATCCTTTATGATGTTTGAGGCTCCAGGGCCACACACACACACACACACACACACACACACACACACAACCTCCCTAACGGAAAGAGGTGAGGTGGCCTTGCTGCCTCAGCCTGAGTGAAATCCAGCCCCATGTTGAGGTAGCTCCTAAACTCATGCCCTCCCCTTCTGAAAGGATCTAAATCTGCTCCCTGCCTGCTTTTGCCTTCCCACCTCCACTCTCAGAAAGAGCAAAGCTACAACTACTTGCTGTGGCAGCTAAGGGTCAGCCCAGCCTTAACTGCATGGGAACAGAAGGCGGGGTGATGCCTTTCCTCACCCATCATAAAGGTCAGGGCTGACACTCGTATGGCAAAAGCCAAGTTAACAAGAGAGAACATTTATTTAATCAAAGTCCTACATGACACGTGTTATAGTTTATATCTAGATGCCCCCCCAAAGCCTTATACAGTCATGGAGCTTTGGGGAGGTGACTGGATCGTGCGGACATGATACTTAATTAAACAAGGCTTAGTCCACTGATGAATTCATGGCCAACTGTGATGCTGGGAGTTGGGGGGGTCACTGGGGACATGGTCTGGAAGCCTCTATCTCCCTCTCTCTGCTTCCTGCCTGCTCTGCCACGAACTCTTTCTCCTCTGCCCTCCCCTCTGCCTTGCCAACCTGACTGGGTGCCAGCCAGCTATGGACTGAATCCTGTACAAGCCGGGCCAAAATCGACCTTTCCTCCTTAGAGTTACCGGTGTCAGGTATCGTGTCACAGTGATGAGAAAGAAACCAAGACTACATGGGAGCCTCCAGAAATGACAATGTGTAGATCTGGGGAAAACTGTCTTTCTGCTTAGGCTGGATAAAGAATCGACAGCTGTGTAGAAAGCGGGTGGGGGAAAGGGTAAGATGTAACCCTAACAAACTGAAGGGAGAAACCCAGCAAGGCCTGTCCACATTCTTCTTGGTCTCCGGGTAGCAGCTCCCCTTCCTCCCAGGTTTGGGGCAGGCCGCCTCGGGAGCGAGGGGCTTCCAACCCTCCCGTCAGATAAGGCAGGTCAGAGACTGTCTTTACAGCCAGTTCCTGCTCAGAAAGATGGGCTAGAGTAATACCTCTAGGATTTATGGCTTGCTTTGGCACGAATGGGGCTCTAGTTTCTGTGACTCACCTTGAGGAAGCGGAATTCTGGTTTTGATGATTAGCTTCGGGGGAGAAAAAAGGAGAAGCGAGACAGGAGAATAGGACAAAAGAGACGGAGACTTCATCTAAGGCCTTCCAGTCCCCTTTAGTTCAAAGTACTCAGCATACCAAAGCACTGAACTTTGGGGTATTATTTGATGTCAGTGCCGGGGGACCTGCCCTCCCTCTGTCTCCTGGGAGGAGTGGACCTAGCCAAGTGGAGCTATGAACTTGCAGACCTCACTGTGTTTACTTTCCGCTCTCCAGGAAATGCTGCAGCAAAAAGTCACCACAGGCCAACAAAGAAAGCTTACCCTCCAGAGATAAGGGATCAAAGGGAGCCTTCCACGGACCAGGACCAGCGTCCCCTCCTCCCTCCTTCTCTGCTGGATGCACCTTCTCTGTTCCATTGTCCCCACTTGTGTTTGCCTTTCCTGCCTGAAAACAAGGAAGCAGGCAGCCTGCCCACTGTCATGATAACCTGCCCTGCCCAAGCACCTTTCACCTCTGCCTTCCTCCAGGCCAGGGCTGGGAGGAGCGGGCCAGCGGAAGCAAGGAAGCAGGCCCAGGCCTGCTGAGAAAGGGATGCAGTTGGAAGGATGCCCTCCCTGCCCAGCCAGCGGGCAGTGGTGTCGGTTATCTCTCATGCCCCTGCCTCCACACTACCAAGCATCCCCTTACTCGGCCTCCTAAATGGCTGTCCCCTCCAGCATGTGGCCACAGGTGACCATTCTAGAGGCCCCATTTCACCCCATGTGAAAGCTTCCAGTGATTCCAGCCCAACTACTAAAACCACCCAAATCTCTAGTGTGACCTCTCATTCTCACTTTTCACCTCCGCGGGCCTCCTCTCCTGCCTCTTGCATCCTGGGCTTGGCCTTCACAGAGCCGCTGGGCTCACCTGGAAATGCCTCCCAACCCTGCCTGACTCCGTTTCCGTGAACACACCAAAAATGCCCAATGACTGGATGGGGAAACTACAAAAAAGTAAAGTTCAAGCTAGCTCAGATCGAGATGGGCTGTCAGTATTGGCAATGTAAATGAATAATAGCAGGGAGCTACTGGGAGTTCTTGAGCGGAGCACTTGCCTTTGGCCGATCAGGATGCTAAAACAAAATACTCCAAACAGGGTGGTTTATAGACAACAGAAATCTTATTTTTCACACTTCTGGAGGCTAAGAAGCCCAAGGTCAAGGTGCTGCATGCTCTGTGTGTGAGAGCCCACTTCTGGTTCATGGCCATCTTCTCACTGTGTTGTCTTACTATGGAAGAACTTGCTCCCTCTCTGGAGTCTCTCTTATAAGGACACTGACCCCATTCAGAAAGACTGCACCCTCGTGACCTGAAAGCCTCTAAAGAGCCCACTGCTTAATCCCATCAGCTTAGAGGTTAGGATCTTAGCGTGAATGCTGGGGGGACACAAACAATGAGGCTATAGCAGTAGTAGTTTCCTGAGTATATGTGAGGGAGATCAGCAGAAACAAATTGGATGCACCCCTCCTTACTTCCTTAGCTTCCAGAGGTTCAGAAGAGAAGAGGTGAGGAAGAAGAGAGGAAGAATAGTCTGGGAAGAGGAAGAGAAGGTAAGGGGAGGGGAGAAGTAGAAGAACCAAGAAAAATTGAAAGAGAGGAGAGAGACATCTTTCTACTTCCCCGTCACTTTCTCAACAAAAAGGATAGTTAAATAGAAATAATAAAGGTAAAGTTTTTTGAGTAACATGGAGGGAAGAGAGCTAAGAAACCCCAAGATCAAGGTGGCCAAAGGTGGACAAATGGTCCCTGTGGGATTCAAGGACCATCTAAGAGTGGACAAAGGAAACCAGTCCTACTGGGGCTTCTCAGTGGACAAACTCACCCCTGCCCCAGGATCACCGAAGGACAACAAAGGGTTCTTCCTGGGTCCCCAGCACCCCATTCCATGACCAACTATACATGAGCCGCAAGCTTCCCCTATCTTGCCCCATTTTATTCCACAGTCTCTCTACCCCAGCTTCCAAGCAAGGCACTAGGGGCATTCACAACATTCTTGAGCCTATGAGTTCTGGAGCTCTAGGGCCACCTGGAAAGTGAGAAGGGTCAGCACACACAGCAAGATGCTTCCTTATCGCCCCGGATGAAAGGGGCAGCATTGCAGTCCTACTGTCATCCCTGTCGTTGTTGTTGTTATTTTTTTTGGCAGAGGAGGCCCTTTCCCTCAGAGTCCTTCCTCCACCACATTCCTGGGGACAAAAAGGAAGATCCTGTTTATTTCCAATCAAGGCAGTTGATGCCTGGGTCAGCTAGACCAGCCAAACAGGAACCAAAGCCTTAAATATTCTGACTCTGAGCATTAGCAGGTGAGAGGGACAGAGCCAGTGAACCAGGTTTTCTTAGCAGGCCTGCCTGTCTATCGCCGAGTTTCTCTTTGGCCTGGACTCATCCTTTTTAGGCCCATCCCCTGGGCAGGAGAACAGCCTTGCTATAATTAATCACATCTATCCCTTGACTCAGATTCACCACATTTAGATTTCAATGCTTTTAAAAAACCATGATGTCTGCATATGAAATGCTCTTTGCTGCTCCTGCAGCCTCCTCTGAGCCTCAGAGTAGGAGTTTAGGGAAAGCAGGAGAGAGAAAAGTCTTCCAGGGCCCTCTCTGAACTATCTGTACACAGTGAGGAGGACCAAGGATGATCCAAACACCTCCAGTGTCTCTCACACAGAACAAATCGAATTTTAAAAAATGTATCCTGCATACCATCGTACTGTTTGGCATGAGTATTCATTCCATAAATTCCAGTTTATTGCTATTTACTATTATGATCATCAGTATTATTAATTCTCAGTACCTATAGTTTCTCTTCCCTTTGGGTCTTAAAAGAGGTTTAGTTGTTTCCCTACTAAAATGCTGACAGCAGAAGGAAGTGGGTTTTGAGGGACATAGAAGTGAAAAGAGGGCTCCTGCTGTTCATTCTGTTTTTTGTAATTTTTGCAACAGCCATACACTACTTTGTGATTACAACTAAGAAAGGAGATTGGCATAGAAGGGACCGAGAAAAAAATATATCATGAAAACTACTTCCTGTTAGCCTTTTAGCATTACTTTAACAAATCCCAAGAACAACAATGAGAAACAAATCTTATTTCCTACTTTGCCAGGATATTGCAGAACGCTCGAGTCTTCAGCTTAGGTTAGGACAAGTTAGCCCTGTCTTGGAGGACAGGAAAGGAGAACAGGGCCCAGAAAACCCACTAAGCTGTATTCCTGGCGAAGCCATCTTTCCAGAAACATGGAGGATTTCAGTCACTTGGGAGTTGGGGGAGGGCTCCTGCCATCCTCCCACTAAGAAATGTGGAAGTTAGCAGTATATGGTCAATAAACAACATACTGGATTATTTTTCAAGTAATTTGGATTCTTGGATATCCAAACTTGCAGCTTTAGAAATCATCTATCTTCCAACTACTGATGAAGGAAGCAGGCCTAGAGAGGACAAGAGACACACCCAGTGT